GCAGAGTGCGTGGGCTGTCTTTTAACAATTATCATCCACTGAGGAGAAACAGCCACAGTAGTTAAGGAACACTGACGTCTTTTGTTGTTCCTGGGCCGAACTCCAACCCCTTTAGACCAAACACAATCCTGTTGATCAGCTGCCAGTCTTGCCTCACTATAAAAATATGTGCATCTCTGTTGACATGGTTTTTGTCCTCACTCATAGGTAGCACACTCGGGTCTCGAACTGCTGAACTACCGACCTTCCACAGCCTGCAGTTCAGCGTCTTAACCACTTGAGCTTGGTTATAGTTGATGTCATATAAGGAATATTTTTAACAATTGTTCACCGGTCAACCTGGCATTTGCCCTTTTTGTATTTTGTAAAGTTGAGTCCCTTATTTTCCTTAGACCAGAGAGCCCTTTTCTATGAGATCCTTCCCAAGGGCTCGCTCTGTAGTCCTTGGCCAAAGGTCCTCTTCCCCCATCCTCCTGTTGTTTAGTATGGCATGTAGTTGCTTACCCAGATAAGCTGATAAAGAATGCTGTGTGTATCGGGAGTCTGGAATTGCTGTCAGAAATGAAGACGGGCTTTAGAAATATACATTGTCTGTTACAATTTAATAGGAAGGCAAAGAGGAATAGCTGTGTAAGATCATTGGCCTGCAATTATCAGGCAATAATCACATCAGCTGAGACTTTGCTTCCCTTTCTTGACTGCTTGTGTCTGCAGTGCCTGGTGGGAGTATTAGCCCGAGCCTGTTCTCTGTTGGGTCATGCTCCCCCTTTACTACCAAGTCCCATTTTTATGGCAGTGTTGTTGGGTTTTTTTAAAAGTCCCAAGTGCTCTGGCTTCGGAGTGGATAAGCAGTTTGCTCGTAATTCATCTGCTCACAAGCAAGTCGCAGTCTTGCATTGCTGGAGTGCTCTCTTGTGGTGGAACTGCGACTGTCGCTGAGCATTGCTGATTGTGTGTGTGTGTGTGTGCTCCTTGCTGGCTGTCCAGGACTCTGTTGCTCATGGTCTCTCTTTTGTGCTTGAAAGCGATGCTCCTTCCATATGCAGTGTCCCCTAGATGATTGCCCACTACTGGAAAGTAACGGGGGCATGGAGCTTTGTAAGCAAACTCTGCACAACTACTTTTTCAGTTGCTAATCCTGGATAGTGTAAGAAGGCATGAACCCTGCAGGGATGGCCAATGTAAACCCCTGCGAATTTCTAAAATTGCAAAGGGTTGATCTTGGCACACACGTGAAGCTACTTTGTACTTGGTCAGACCATTGATCCGTCAAGGGTCAGTACTGTATCCTCAGACTGGCAACAGCTGTCCAGAGTCTTAGGTTTCCCCCCCTCACCTGCTACCTGATCCTTTTAACTGGAGATGTGAGGGATTGAACCTGGGGCCTTCTGCATGCAAAACAGAGGCTCTGCCTCTCTGCTGCCGCATGCCCTCTGGCATGATTGGAAGATTCTTTCCTAATAGGGCACTAACACCTTAAGTTCTAGGGTAGATACAAAATACAGAGGAGACCAAAGTATGCAGCAGACTCATTTGCAGCATATAAGCAAGGACTATTGAGCTGCGGTGGCTCAAGTGGTTAAGACGCTGAACTGCAGGCTGTGGAAGGTCAGTAGTTCAGCAGTTCAAGACCTGAGTTGCCGCATGACGGAGTGAACTGCCGACTCTAGTTCCAGCTCCTGCCAACCTGCAGTTCGACAGCAAGAAATTGCAAGTAGATAAATAGGTACCACTTCGGTGGGAAGGTAACAGTGTTCCGTGCACCTTGGTGTTTAGTCATGCCGGCCACATGACCACGGAAACGTCTTCGGACAGTGCTGGCTCTTCGGCTTTGAAACGGAGATGAACACCGCAACCCTAGAGTCGGACTCGACTGGCTTTCGAGCAAGGGAACCTTTACCTTTACCTTTTATAGCGGTGAATCCATGCAGCAAGCAAAATCATAATAGGCAGATGACATACCTGTGTCCAGGGGTCATTTCATAGAAAAAGAGCTAGGGGAACTCATTAGCATAACTCATTAGCATATGCCACACCCCCTGACATCAGGGGCCCGGCAGTGGACCTGCAAAGCCAGCGGGAGTGCGAGGAAGCCCCGCCAAGGCCCTCCCTGGCCCCAGGCAGGCAGGGGTGGGGAGAGGCGGGGAGGAAGCAACTTACCCTCCCTCTTCTCCTGCCTCCTCCTGGCTGAATGAGGGCTGGAAGCGGGGCGGCCGTTAGCAGGGGGCGGGGCTTCGTCATTTGCCCCGCCCCCCTGCACCTCACCCGGGGGAACTGCGTTCACCCGCGTTCTCCCCCGAAATGACCTCTGCCTGTGTCTTTGTCCTTAGTATGCCAAGTGGGCATCATGTGTTTTCAGCAGCAAATATTGATGTACGTGTCATGGTCATGTCTGCTTCTTTATAATGTAAAGCTGCCGATTCCATGGGTAGGAGGCATTTAGAGAAAGATGTTTCAGTGTAGTGGAACGAGGTGTGTGTGCTGTGTGCATGTGTGTGTGTGTGTGTGTGTGTATGAGAGAGAGAGAGAGAAATCAATTTTCTCCACTCTGGACAGAAAACTGCTGACAATAGATGTTTAAACAACTTACCAGTCAGGTGAGACTGTTGTACAATACACTGCGTCCAATGATTCTCTTGCTTTGTGGTTAGATAACTGTGCCATCCTAAGCAGTGTTACACTCTTCTGCTCACATTGAAGTCAGTGGACTTCGGAGGGTGTGACGGGGCATGGCATTGAAGTGGTTTCCCTTCCTGGAATACACTTTTAGTAGTGACTTGCCCTTACATCAAACAGTTCCATAGAGACTTCACGACATAATAAATTATATGTGATTTTTAAAAGTACTGCTGATAAGGCTAATGTTGAAGTTTGCTTGTTGGATAGAAGTTTTGTTTGTTACTGTTTTGAACGTTGTTTGACTTTGTACATCGTCAAACTTTTGTATGTTAAAATAATAAAAAGTTAAAAAAGGAGGGTGTGACGCTACTTAGGATGGCACTGATAAGACCTCAAAAGTCACCGAAATGTGACTTCATAAATGAAGAATTTGCTGTACCCTTGACCGTTTCATGGCAAATTCTCCCAGGCTGGAATGAATGATACCTTCTTGGTACCTTATTTTGTCCCAGATGCTACTTTCCGCCGGCTGGACCACTAGCAGACCTGTGTTTTGTTTTGTTCAATGTCAGCTGAAGTCCTTTAATGTCCTGTGAAGGCTGAACTGGGTCATATGATGCCGTTCTGCTTTTTCTCAGGGGGAGCCATTCAAAACTGGGTCTGATTCAATTGTTTCCCCCTCTCGTTTCCTTTTCTTCTAGTGGATGATTCCTTTTGTGATCATGCTGGTGACCATCCCTAACCTGACTGTCACTTATGTGGCGGCTTTTGTATCCGGGCTGAGCATTGCGGCATCTTTGCTGTTGCCATGGTAGGAGGACAATACTATCCTGGTGGGTGGGTGTTGTGTGCGTGTATCAAGTTGATCTTGGGAGTTCTCAATGAGCGCAAGAAATAAATTGGTTACATGATGGGATGTATGGGACAGCAGAGTCCTTGTAGTATTTGCCTTAGGTAGGCTTGTAAAGGTAAAGGTAAAGGTTCCCTTGCTCGAAAGCCAGTCGAATCCGACTCTAGGGTTGCGGTGCTCATCTCCGTTTCAAAGCCGAAGAGCCAGCGCTGTCCGAAGACATTTCCGTGGTCATGTGGCCGGCATAACTAAACACCAAGGTGCACGGAACGCTGCTACCTTCCCACTGAAGTGGTACCTATTTATCTACTTGCAATTTCTTGCTGTTGAACTGCTAGGAACTAGAGACGGGAACTCACTCCGTCATGCGGCACACTCGGGTCTCGAACTGCTGAACTACCGACCTTCCACAGCCTGCAGTTCAGCATCTTAACCACTTGAGCCACCGCAGCTCCCAGGCTTGTACGCTCAGTCAACAAAAGAACAACCATGGGGAAGGCACACGGGATCAGAGATTGCTGATGTATAACAATAGGTCCGAAAAGTGAAGAATTGCCTCTGAGATGACCTGAAACCTACTCCCTTTAGCTGTGTGTGCTCGTTATAAAACCAAATTCATCATTAATGTTGTTAGAGCAGCTAAGCGTGGAAGCACATCCCACTAAAAGCACTTTCAGCTGTTACCACATCTGTCATTTGAATGTAAAGCTACAGAGCATGCTTGCTTTTCGGTCGGCTTCCTCCTGCTTTCTGTCAACTAAAAAAAGTTTTGCACACGCACATAAGAGAAGCCAATGTTGGATCAGGCCAATGGCCCATCCAGTCCAACACTCTGTGTCACACAGTAGCCAAAAACACAAGGTGCCATCAGGAGGTCCAGCTGTGGGGCCAGGACACTAGCAGCCCTCCCACTGTTCCCCCCCCCCCCAAGCACCAAGAAT